CACCCCGTTGTAAGAACAAGTGAGCCTGGAGACCTGGCGATCGATAGCCCTCAAGATGAAGACACTAATAACTTTATCCCCTCTTGTCCGCCAACTTTCGCCTACATTAGCTCTGACCACAGGCCCCAGGCAGCTGGGACCTGCAGTGGGCCGGCCTGGAGCCGAGTAACCCCTTCAGATCCAGGTGGGAAGCATGAAGGTAGACCGCAGGAATGACTTCCTGGCACTCAGGAATGGGAGGCCACAGGGATGAGGAATAGAAAGCCTTGGAAACATGTTTTCTACTCCTGGATTGATAGTACTGGAGACCTAACTCAGAGTTTAGGAGGATCTATGACCTCAGAAGCAACCTACAGAGGTACCAGGATCCCCCTCTAATCCCTGAGGGCTGCCCAGAGGAGGTGAGCTGGGAGGGAAATTCCCACTAGGGAAAGTCAGAGAGTCAGAGGACTGGAGCTAGGGGAGGAATTAGGGTTGGGAAAGGTGGAGGCCCGTTTTCCAACAGGGCTTTTTGCGGCAGCACAGAGACCGGAACCCACAGGGCTTCAGAGGGAGGGGGAAACCCCCTCCTCGCCTCACACACGCCACAGCCTGGCAAGTCCCTGTAGCTAGAAGGGGTGGTTGGGACCAGGGAATGAGAACTTCTCTTCGGCAGGCCTGGTCCCCCTGAAACATGCAAACCGCCTCAGCCCCAAATGTCAAGGCCAGGACCTGGGCTGGGGGTACCCAAGACCGGTGGCAGGATGGAGAGGAGGAGGAAGAACAGGAGAGGTGAAATAGGCAAGACTGTAATGAAAACAGTGACTATTCCCATAGCACCTGCTGCAGGCCAGGCCCTAGGGAGGGCCTTGCACGTGGGACTTGTTGAAGCTTCATAACCACCCTGTGAGGTTGTTGCTATAATAATAGCATTTTGCAGAGGAGGACACTAGGGCACAGAAAGGTTGAGCAACTTGCCCAGCATCACACAGCTGGGAAGTGGCAGAACCAGGCTCCAGCGTCTTAACCACCAGGGACACAGCCCTGTAGGAAGAGGAAAGGGGCTTCGTTCTGGGGAGGTGGACTGAGGTGCCTCTTGTTCCCTGTCATCTTGGAGGCAGTGTTCAGGGAGAAGTGCCTGGCCTCTGGGGCTCTGCCTTGGTGGCTCTCGGATTCTGTCCTTCTGTGCTTGAGCTTCTTCCCCTCTGTGCGTGGATCTTGGCTCTCAGCACTGCTCTTGGCTGCCCTGCACTCTGTCTCCCCGGCCTCTGTGGGCTCCTCCTGCAGCTCTGGCCTGTCCTGTCCATCTGTCCGGTCTCCAGATCTCTCCTCCCCACCATCCCAGGCCACTGCAGCTCAAACTTTCCATCTTAGCACAGGGGCCCGCAGAGCTGGGGGTTGGGGGGATTGAGAGAGGCAGGCTGGGAGGGGACGGGAGCTTGGTGCATGGAGCCACCTCACTCCCCCGGGGATGCTTGGAAGTCGGGAGTCCTGGGCCCTGGATCCCCTGGGGAATGACCCCACACACACCAGACAACTTGTCCAAAGCCACTTCAGGAATTTGGTAAGACAGGATCTCTCCATCTGCCGGTACTTAGCTGGGCCCTCTGGAGTCTGGGATTCTCTCGAGGATCTGTCTTCAGCCTGGGGTTCAGGGGGGCACAGGATGGGATGTTTTCCACCCAGGCTGTCCTAGTGCTCTGCCTGTCCTTTTCCCGGAAACCCAGACAGGCGCTCTGCTGTCCTGCCAGGAATCCAGCCTCTGGGGGAGTCAGGTGGGAAGGAGCAGAGACTGGTTAGGAGGCTGAGGGTGTGGAGGTGGCTTGGACCCCCGGATTCTTTAGAGACCTGAATTCTTTAGAGATTCTTTAGAGATCCCAGCACTGAGGGCCCTGGGGCACCCCACTGGCTTCTGCCCACTGATTCCTTCTTTCCAGAGTAAGTTCAGAGTCGCTAGCAGCGACCTGCTTAGGGCAGGGCGTCTCGGCATCTTTCTTCAGTGCTGGGCATTCTTGAGGTGCCCACCACCCTTTCTGAGTTTCCGTCTTCCAACCAAGACAGCCCTCTCTGAGGAGGAAGGGTAGAGGCAGAGGCCTAGGCCAGATCGGGGGAGGGGTGGGCAGATGTCCAATCCCACAGCCTCAGGTCCCAGCCCCCCGTGGGGTCCTTGGGGCCCCATTCCATCGATCCGCTTGCAGCCATCCACCTCAGCTGGTGCTCAGCCCCTGGGGTCTGTGTGGGGGCAGCTAATGGACTTGGCACAGCCGAGAGGTAATTAACAGGGAGGGGGCAGGGGCCACAAAGGGGCGGAGGGGGCACCATTAATGACAGTGGAATCCAACCGCTGAGTGATTGGGGCGGGGGTTCTGTGTGCGTGTGTTTCTGTGTACACACGTGTGTGCCTGGACTGTGGGCAGGCCTGTGGATACGCACATCTGTGTGTCTGTCGGTGATGGAGGCGTGAGGACTTTCAGGCCCCAAAGCTGGCAGTGTGGGTGCGAGCCCCCTCCTCACCACCCAGGAAAAGCCCCAGGTCAGACGGCCTGAGGGAATTGGCCGGCTAGGCCTCAGCTCCTGGTCCCAGATCAATGGAAGCTATCCAGTTCCCTCTCAGGTGCACTCCCGGAATTTCCCTTCCCTGTCCAAACTTTGTTCCCAGAAGCCCTCAGCTCACCTGCCAGCTTTTCCAGCAATGGCAGAGGCTCCCGCAGCTCAACAGTCTCTGACGTCCCGAGGACCTTGGAGGTGTTCCTCGAGTCCCAGCAGGTCCCTTCGGCTCCCTGACCTCCACCGCCTCTGCCTCACCGATGGCCCCAATCCTGCTCTATCTGGGGTGACCCTCAGTCCCCTCATGTGTCTGCCCACCGAGCCTCCAAGTTGGGAGGAGTCCCGCCCACTCCAGACAGCAGAGGCAAGGGCAGGTGAGACAGGAAGCCCCAGGAGGCCACTCCGCTCTCCAGGACACTTTCTTTTTTTTTTTGAGTTGGAGTCTCACTATCGCCCAGACTGAAGTGCAGTGGCCGCTTCCGGTCACCGCAGCCTCGACCTGCTGGGCTCCGGCAATCCTTCCGCCTCAGCCTTCCAGGTAGCCGGAATTACAGGCATGCGCTACCACACCCGGCTAATTTTTGGCT